AGTTAAAACTACAAGCAGGTGAAGATAAAACTATGAAAGTGAAAATAAAATTGGTTTAAAAATTTGGCAAGTCAGAGATGTTGAAATAATTTGTGTCAAACAGGAGGCACAATGTGTGATTTTCATTTTTGATATTGTTTAATTATCACTACTTTATTACACTGTGTTCTGTATGTTGTTTTCATGATTAAATACAGCTAAATAAACTATTTTAAAAGTAACAGCTCTTTGTAAAACTTTTATATATATATTAAATCTAATTACTGGATGTTCGGCCCCTCAGCTGTTGAAGTGCAGGAACTGTGGCCCCTGGAGCAGTTTAGCTGAATGGCCCTGTTTTATGCTAAGAGACAAGCTAAGAGTCAACGTTAGTATTCAGACTGAAAACATGAAAATGATTAAGTTAATGATTTAATAGAAGAGGCAGAGTTAACTAAATTAAATGGAGGAAACATGTTTATTTAGCTCTTTCTGAAAAGAAAGTTGAGTTAGCCTGTTAGCTTTTTAACCAACACCAACATTAACTTAAGCCTGAATCCAACAAATTAAAGTTTAAATAACAGACTATTTGTATTTAATAAAAGCAGGTAAATGTGATGAAACAATATTTGCATGAACTTTATTTTGAAAGGAAAGCTCACCATGATGACTCCGATGCCGATGCCGACTCCTCCGACGATGTGCAGCTTGTGGTTGAACACTTCATCGATGGCTTTAGGACAGCTCTGACAGAAACATTTTAATCAAACTGATTAAAGTTCACTTCCTGGTTTTCTGCTGACGCTTCAGTTTGATTGGAGGCGGGGTTACCGTGGTGACGAGGACCTCCAGTCCTTCCTGCTTTGGACAGATGTCTTTGATGGCATCGAAGACCGTTCCTGTAGGACCGCAGCAGTCCAGCTGGAGAACAAAAYTAAAAAGCAGCTCAGATGAAGAGATGTTTGATGAGAAGGAAATGCTTTAAYAAGTGACGTCTCACTCCGAAGTGGATGATGCGGAGGGTCTCCTTCAGCGCCTCCTGCTTGGTGGTCCTGAAGTTCTCATAGGTCTGTTTGTAGAACTCCGTCACGTCTTCCACCACCTGCAGATCCAAACATTACTCCTCATCATCATCATCATCATCATGAAGAGGTCGGACTGAAGCGTTGGTTTCTTACCGTCTCTTTATTGGACAGACTCCAGATCCCTGCGGCCACTTCTGCAGCGAAGATGAGGAGCAGGAAGAGGAAGAACTGAAACACAAACAAACAGTCAGTTTAAAACACACACAAGGTGACAAACAGCTGTTTGCTTCAGCTCCTCCAGGTGAACCAGGCTGCTGCAGAGCTCAGATTACAAGCTGCTAATCCAAGTCAACATGCAGCCCAGGATTAGACTCWTCTCTAAAGCTGCCACCAAAAATATATCAAAGCAGGAAAAACTTGTTTTTAAATGTGACTCAGCACATTTTAAGATTCCTGCTTTTAAGTGGATTTTATTATTTATTAAAARTGTTTTAGCAGACCCTCTTGTGATTTCAGCTGACGCTCTTTTCTGATTCCTGCTTTTTAAGCTACTTTTTGAAGAACTCATATTTGGTCTGAATTCTATTTCCAAGTTATTTTTAGGGTTGTCAAATGATTAATATTTTCAATCTGATTAATCCCAAAGTAGCTGTGAATCAATCATGATTAATCTTAAATTTAATATGCATTTCTATTGCATATTGATAAAATAAATTACTTGAGTTATTAATTGGTTTTTAATGCTTTTATTTTGAAAACAAAATTGGTGCTTAGACATAATTTTTTGAATATAAATCAGGACCTAAAAATGCTCCAAACATTTTTGAGTCAGTTAAATTTTGTGCAGAATAATGAGGTTAAATCAAGAATTTAAGGATTTTCATTCTAAATGAGGAATGAAAGATGGATACTAAGGTCACAGTTGTCAGCAAAACATAAATAAAATAAGCCATAAGACGACAAAGAAAAAAAAACTGTACATAATGTGTTACACATGGGAGTTTTTATTATTTACTTTATTTAACCTTTATTTATCCAGGTAAACTGTTTGAGAACCACTCATTTATAAACATGACCTGGCACTGAGTGCATTGTAATATACAAACCTACATATTCAGCCAGAGTAAAGTCATTGTAAATTTTTAATTGCGATTAAAATTTTAAATCTGTGCCCATGTAACACAAAAATTAAGAGTTAACCTGATTAATTTCACATCTCTAGTTATTTTGAAAAGGAAAGTTTAATATTTGGATGTTTACATTGACCAGCTGGGAAAAAAAAAAAAAAA